GCACTCCGACAGATAGAGATACCAGGCAGTAACATGATTTGTTTTAATACGTGTGTCTATTTCTGGAAAGACCCTGTTAAAAAGCTACATAATAAGTCTGGGTTACCAGTAGCTTGTGTTTTGTTGTCAAACCAGGGTTCATAATAAAGATAAATAAGGAATCAAAAGACAGTGTGGCCTGTTTCCTTCAATACTACTGTGTTATTTAAATGACTGCAGAATAATATATCGATACAACCAAGCTCATTTGTTGTTGGGCAAGTAAGTTAATAGTTAGTGTACTTCAAGCGATAGAAAAACAAAACAGAGTTCAACCAGGAATGTGTTTGCCTAAATGAGCCTAGTGAGACATTTCAATTATATCTGTGTGAACTGCTTTTCCAGATCTGACCGCGATATATCGAGTAACGATCAAATTACCTATTTAGTCTAAGATTACTCCATGTAATCAGAATATTCCTTTCTTCTTTTCTTAGACAATTTGCAAATAAGAAAAATGAACTTTTCGTTAGAAGTAATAAAACCTCTTTCGAATAAAAAAAAAATCTTTTATATGTGTAACCCTGGTAAATACTAGCCGCAATATATCGCTCGGCTATAGAGAACTTCTCTTTAGCTCAAACGGTTGAGCGTTAGACTAGTAAGCCAGAGGTCTCGGGTTCGATCCCATGCGGAGGTAGTGATTTATATTTAATTAATCATGCGCTCTGTTACATTGGCGCCCAACGTGGGGCCCCGGGAAAAATACTCGGCCTTGCTCCACAAGCATCGCTGTTACCCCTGGAAAACTCGAGGACGACTTCTTTCCTGGAAGGGGAGTATGTAACCCTGGTAAATACTAGCCGCAATATATCGCTCGGCTATAGAGAACTTCTCTTTAGCTCGATCGGTTGAGCGTAAGACTAGTAAGCCAGAGGTCTCGGGTTTGTGCTGGGGAACATTATACAATTATGATATGAACCTGAAAAAGAGTATGATACGAACACGTCTAATCAAAACCCTGATATGAATTGGTATGAATCTTTTTCAGCTTTAAATCATAATTGTTTTGACCGAGGCGAAGCTCTGTTTTATTATACACTCATTTTTGTATTGTTAAAATTTACTGGAACGAGGCTTCGTGTACAATTTAGCCCGGGTTGAATCAAACAGTTCGGCAACGTAGATTTCGAAGACATCGTCAAGAATCCTTTTCTTAGATAAGCATGGAGGACACGCACTGCGTGTTCGCTGGCCTTTTTAGAGTAAACAGCTTCTTTATCCTTGAGCAGTTTAGGTAACTTTCAGATTTAAAGGAGGCGAAGTGTTCGCCAGCAGCTATCCTCTGTTGTCGTCTGACAGATCGCGTTCCGGTCTAACTGCACATGCGCATGTGCTACGACAGGTTCCGTGGAATTTCCTATACGCTATATTTAGAAGTCGATATTCACCGAATAACCAGTCTACATGAACTTTTGAGAACTGGTCACGTGTATAGGATCCGACCAATGTGATTGCGAGTAATGTTCAAGCATTTAATAATGTACCATTATGGAATTTTGTGCTGGTGAATATGATTGGATATGAACATGAAAAAGTGATATTGACCGAGTCAAAGCTTTTTACATTTCAAGGTTGCATGAAAATTGTCGTTTTACACGGATAAATGCCACCAATCTTGATTATGTAATATAAAGGATCGTGCACTCGTTTTCATTTCACATGAAATTTATGAAACTCGTCACGAATATTTCATTTGGACTCGCCAGAGGCTCGCTAAATTGAAAAATTCTTAGACTAGATTCATAAATCTCAAATGAAATGGAAACTCATGTAAGATCCTATATACAGCAAAAAACTAGTCTGCTTGACAATAAAGGGCAACTTTGGCAATACATTTCCACATTTTTTCCAAAGACGAATGATAACAATACGGGCCTGCCTCGTTTGTAAGTTTACAAATATCCTTAAAAGCAACTGTTTTTGTCTGTTCTGCTAGTCTCCTAACCAAGCCATGATCTAAACTTCTTACTGGAGTTTGTATTTCTATAAAATCAGTATAACAGTCGTATTGAGACTCTTACTGAATATTTAAACAAATTAAAAGATATTTTAATCAATTATGGACACTTTCAAACATAAATATTTTATCAGACATCTTGAGTTCCTTACACTCAATACCTCATACTAAACGGAAGGAAAGTTTCCGTTCTCTTGTAGGAGGAGTGACCTCAGTCATCGTATAAGTCAACCCAGGTTCTAGTCTAGGGTTCCACGTGGTTCCTAGCGTACAAATGAACAAGTCCCATATAACGTTTAATAGACTTTATTACAGAAGATAGAAGTAAACAAACATGTACACAAGAACACGACGAGGGCCCTCACCTACGGCCACCGCTGGGACACATACCTAACATAGCGGGTCAGCTACTTGGCTTCGCCCGGGACATACACAAACACAAGTAACGTTGTACATTCACACCCACCTTATAGAAACAGACCCGTTAAGAGAAGGACAGACAAGACAGACGAGTTAGATTCAGCTCTCAGAGCTACTACATGTACCTAACTGAAGATTTGCATTGATTGATTGATTGATTGATAGGTTTTACGTCCGCTTCACTACCGCGTATTTCGGTTATTCAGCAGACGGATAAAAAGATTTGCACGTGTATTGCCGTGTTTATACTAACCGGCAGCCAATGACAGCCAAGCTAACACGTTGGAGTCGCGAGCCAATCAGCTAAGGTCTAGCTTCTGGACAGTGACGGAAATAGGAAAGTAAATAAACAACATGGACGACACGAGTGACAGTCACAAATCCCAGCGACAGTAATGCATAAACAACAGGCACAAGGTATGTAATACAGCTTCACTTCATTAACGCCCTCACACAATCACCGATCCACATGCACACCCCGATAGTAACTTGCATGCACACATTCATACCAGTATAGGCTTATACACACCCTAACAACCCGTACTTCTACACACTTCCATTTCTTTTAGAAAAACTAGCTACTTGCTATTTTTTCCCTACATAAGTATGCAACAATTTACATAAGAGGTTGACGTTTAAACACCGTCTATCATAAATATATAAATATATTACGATTAATCTCATGTGGACATATGTTACGATAATCTCATTTAAACCTGTATAATATCTGTACAACAAGACCTAAACTTTCCAACATTTAGCAAAAATAAAATTATCAAAAATATAGTGTTATCACAAATATATAAATCACGAATGAACTCTCCATATAACATAACAACAACAATGATATGTCCAAGTACCTGTATAGCAGAAGATAAGGCCTTTTAACAAAATAACAAAACAATATATAACTTTACATTTCATTTTTTTTCTAATGCCACGCATCATCGACGTAAGCTAGGAGCTCACTGTCATCAATGGAAAGTATCTCCGACCCTGGGGTCACCGACGACCGGATTGGGATGCTTATATTCCCTGTAGAAATGTATCTGTTGTTAGGCACCCTCTCCCCTGGGGCTACCATCCTCACAGCTTCTGCCGCCTCAACTTTGTGCACATGCCGCACATGGCGAACAACGTGGTTCTTCCTTATATGGAAAAAAACTGCAGCGAGGACACCGCACCCTCTACACTGTCCTCGCATGTATTTCAGCCCAATGACGAAGCATGCCGGAGTATACCTTTATTTTTCGGACTCCACACTCGGTTACAGGACATGACATCCCTCCCTCTACCCAAACGGATCGTGTGTCCTGCTGAATCACAGCGATCTCCTCCTCGCTCACAAGTAGATCCAAAATATCCATTTGGCTAAAATTAATAATTGTTAATTTGGGATCAGGCTCACAGCCTTCTTACTAGTGTAGTAAAATTCAAACAATAAACTTCCAGGCCTAGGCCTTCTTGTTTAACCTTATTAATTATACTTGACTGGATATACATGTAATAATTCATGTCGTAATATTTATTTCAGACTCTAGGCCTTCTCATCCAACATTATAAGTTGAAACTTACTGAATATACTAGTGGCTATTTGTAGCATAGCAAAGAAATAAAATATATAATTTTAACATTTCAGTTTAATTTCCAGATACACAACACAAGAACGCCACAAAACAAACGACAAGACAAACACAACAGACGGTATCTGTAAACTACAGGGTGGGGCTGAATTGGACCTTGGGCCGAATTTTTCTTCCAAATCGACTGTACTTAGTAGGTACAACAGGAGGGGTAGGAGGGGGAGATACTTCCAACCGGTCAAAGTCACTGTCACGGTCAAGGTCATGGCCAATGTCAAGGTCAATATTAAGGTCAACGTCATGGTTGGCTTGGGGAGCTACAGCCATGTCAGACATGAGCTCATCTTCTGTATTGCCTTCTTCCCTCCAAGCCACATGAATCGACCCCATTCATAAGGTTTTAATTGGTGTACATGTACCGTTGTAGAACGGCCACTGGGTTTAATCTGTATCCAATTTGTCAGTGGGGATTTTACACCTACAACTTTGTATGGCCCTGTCCATCCCTTCCCTAACTTACAAGATAAGGAGGATGGATACCATCTCCAGACAAAATCACCAACCTCATATTTCCGTGGTTTTAACCCCTGATCATAGTGGTTTTTCTGCCTTTCAGCTGAGACTTTTAAATATGTAGCAACAAAGTCAAAAGTTGTACACATGCTATGTTGGAGCCAGTTAACATACAGGTTGGGGCAAACAGGGTATTGCTCAGGGGAGGGAACTCCGACAACAATGTCCACAGGGCAAGTTGTTTCCCTTCCCAGCATAACCAAATTAGGGCTACACCCAGTGCTCTTCTTAGCAGTAGCTCGATATGCCATAAGGACGTAGGGTAAGTGATCGTCCCAATCGTCGTATTCAGCGTTCACAAAGGTCGACAACATTTGAATAAGGGTTCTATTGAACCGTTCCACCAGACCATTCTGTGCTGGTCGAAAGGCACAAATATTTTTCTTTTTTACACCTAATTTCTGACATAGAAGGGTAAATAGCTTTCACTCGAACTCAGCTCCACGGTCCGATAAAATTTGAAATGGAACCCCGAATCTACTGATAAACTCAGAACACAGTTTGTCGGCTATCGTTACAGCTGTATGATTAGGTAAGCCATGGGCCTCGACCCATTTAGAAAAGTAGTCGCACACTACCATTATACAAGAATGGCCATTAGCAGTAACAGGTATACCACTTAGTATATCAATAGAAATCCTGTCTAAAGGACGGGACACTTGAGCTAAGGTGGGATGTAAAGGAGTCTTTCCCATACCAGGACCAGGTTTACGTCGTGCACACATATCACATTTCCTGCACCATCTCCCAACGTCATCAGACAAGCCAGGCCAATAATACCTTCTCTTTATCTGAGACAGGGTTTTATCCCATCCCAAATGTCCTGCAGTCTGACTATCATGGAACTCATACAGAATCTGTTTTCGAAAACTCACTGGAGCAAGTACTCTGTCATGGGTATTGCCGTCTGACCCACTGTCCTGTACATACAATAACCCATTCTCTAGCAGGGAAATGTGGTCCCACCTTTGGCAGTACACCCGTATTTCATATGCTAACCCATTCATTTCGTCCCGTTTTTGCTTTGTAGACCTAACAGCTTTAAGTTGCTTTAACTTGGCTATATAAGGGTCACTGTCCTGCTCTTTTCTAAGTTTTTCTATACCCCATGAATCTAACCAGTTGGTAAATATTTGCTGACTTTCCCCCTCAGACATGTTAACTTCATCTTCTGAGGAAGAGACAACATTTACCGTAGCAGTTATACAGTCTGGGCATGTTTGTCTACCACACTACTTCTTGGGTCTGCGGGACAGCCCATCAGCATTTCCGTGCTGTATACCTGGTCGATGTTGAATTTCATAATCGGACATATCAACTACGCTTATCCATCTAGCTAGTAAACCCTCTGGCTCTTTGAAATTTTTCAACCAGGTCAAAGCAGCATGGTCAGTGCGTATGAGGAAGTGGGTGCCCCCAATATAGTGCCTAAAATGCCTTAAGAAGGTGACAACAGCAAATAGCTCTCTACGAGTTGTGCAGTAATTTTGCTGTGCTCTACTTTTTTACTGGCGTACTCAATGACACTTTCCTCGCTATTCTGCACCTGACTGAGAACACAACCCATTCCAAAACTACTAGCATCACAATCTAATATGAAAGTACCCGTACTTTATTGATATGAGAGAATAGGACCAGACACTAGCAGATCTTTAAATTTTTGAAATGCCTTTTGACATTTTTCATCCCATTGGAATACTTTTCCCTTCCTGGTTTCCTGGTTAATTTTGTTAAGGGAGCCGATATGTCTGAAAAATTGGGGATAAACTTCCTGTAATAACCCGCCAAGCCCAGGAAACTTCTAATTTCTGATGAGGAACCAGGTTGTGGCCACTCCTTGACCGCTTTATTCTTCTCGAGGTCACAGCTGATACCAGCTTATGAAACGACATGGCCAAGATAAGAGACTTGGGTCTGGAAAAGGGTTCATTTTTTTGGTTTAAGTTTAAGGTTTGCTGTACGAAAGCACTCAAACACACACACTTCAAATTAGACATGGCTGACTCAAATGAGGACCCAAAACAGATTACATCATCAAGATAGCAAAGGCACTTGGTATCTTGCTTCGCCCGGGACATACACAAACACAAGTAACGTTGTACATTCACACCCACCTTATAGAAACAGACCCGTTAAGAGAAGGACAGACAAGATAGACGAGTTAGATTCAGCTCTCAGAGCTATTATCTAACTGAAGATTTGCTCGTGTTTTGCCGTGTTTATACTAACCGGCAGCCAATGACAGCCAAGCTAACACGTTGGAGTCGCGAGCCAATCAGCTAAGGTCTAGCTTCTGGACAGTGACGGAAATAGGAAAGTAAATAAACAACATTGACGACACGAGTGACAGTCACAAATCCCAGCGACAGTAATGCATAAATAACAGGCACAATGTATTTAATACAGCTTTCACTTCATTCACGCCCTCACACAATCACCGATCCACATGCACACCCCGATATTAACTTGCATGCACACATACATACCAGTATAGGCTTATACACACCCTAACAACCCGTACTTCTACACTCTTATCATGGTAAACTGTGAAAGGCGATATCGATAAATGGTTTTAAATTATTTTGAAGTATCTGAGAAGAACAACAAACCCAAAACTAAATATATCAAGGATAATATTGTGGAAATGTGCGAGTTTATGGTTGAAAATAACTTTGTAACCCCGGTGGCAAGACCATCCAGCATAACATGAGACTAAACTTGTTGAACAGTTTACAAAAATCTACAGAAGTCAATTTCATACTCAGATATTTCGAACGATGTGCTTTCCTTAAACAATAAGAAATGTATTGTTCCAGTCGATACATTCCTTCTCTTGATACCAAGAATATTATTGACTAGTCTAGCACATTAGTCTTCCTCGATCTGCTGTTACAACACACACAACAAGGTCAGTTTGTTACTGAGCATGAGTTGTATAATTAGTTGGGCGAACTCAATTTTCCTATAGTGATATTTCACTTTCGTAATAATAGCATCCCTGCTTCTCGAACCTACGTATTTACATGTCGAGATAATTCGGTATCCAGGAAATTGCTCCGATTATCATTAGTACTGTTATAGATGACTGATGACAGTGATACGAACAGCAAAGGGTTTCCAAACATCCAGGTTGATGATCACAATTAACAAGTCTCATCCTCGCCATCATAATATCATTGGAAACTATGCTATTTCTTTGTGTGATATATAGGTCGCTGCTTTGTCTGTTCAAAGATCAATAATGAGTCTTGTGATATTATGAGGGTGTGACATTAATTGGATTTGACCTAAATTTACATGGTGGTGGTCGTCAATGAGGCAAAAGAAGTTTGATCTTCCAGAATAATTAATATTTCTATATCCAAATGTGAATTTTTCCTTTGCTCATATGTTATCCTAGTTTAATTAATTTTGAGGTTTTGTTAACACCTTGTTATTTTATTATTCTTAGTTCTTTTTAATGAATAATTACTGGTTCCGAATGCAAACACATCATACAAGCATAGAATCAACGCAGGAATTGCAATTTAAAAAACAAATGTCCCTTTCAAATTGACGAATTTCAATTATCAAAGACAGCTGGTAATACTGTCCTTGATTACTATTTGTGTTAAACACAGAGTTGCGTTGTCAACGATTACCCTTGAAATTACCACTGCAAACTGACGATATTGAAAATGGATTACCTAATCAGAAACTTACCCGTTCTGTCGCAGTTATCCTATGAGATTTTCTGTATTTTACTTTTACGAATGTATATAGATTAATAACAAAAGTAATATTTTGGTTTGTATTGTAAGTTTAATGCTTTTGAATAGGCCACTGAATCTTTAGCCAAATGTACACTGATTCCCGAGACGATTGCTAGTGACCTACACGTACAAAAGAAAAATATATCTTTAACAAATCCGATATGGTCGGATTAAATCGCGAGCAAATATATCCTACTCGTCAATCTTTATTTGTTTCATTGCCAATATCAACCTGGTAGCTATTGAGGAAAGGTTTATGAAAAAATATATCCGGTTCCATAACCTAGGCCAAGTCAATATAAAGATCAATTGCTACAAACACATTCTAGCTTCAGGCATATCTAATTGGATTCGCAAGAAAACACATCGTGATGTACAAAAGATGTTGTTGATCAATCGGAACTGATCAGTTTGAACTGCGAGCAGATTTATCTCGTTTGTAAATCTCCGCTGTTTCGGGTTTTAAATGTATTGGAAATAAAAATGTGAAAAGGCTAATATGCTGGAAAAAGATTGTAAGATTACCTTGACATCTTAGGAGACTTTGTTAATGATGATTAAACTGATTTAATATATAAGTCCAATTGCTAAAACTGTGTAGTTATCTTCACATCAGTGTATGTATAGGAATACCAACACGACATTGTGATTGATTGCAACGATCTTATTTTCGGAAATAAAGGACTCCAAAAACATTACATGATGGACATCCACAATATAGTGTCCTGTGGTCTGCAGACAAGAACGTTGGTTTAAGTTTAGTTCAACAAATCTTACCATTGGGTCAGGTGTTCGTCACCATCACAACAGAACGACTTCCATGTAGTGTGTCACTTGTTGGTGTTCTGGTAGCTGGATTGGTGCCCTGGTCACTATATTAGTATTCCGGTCACTTCTGCAACAGAATAATTGCTGAATATTGATCTTTCGGAAACTGCTGACGTTTATATAATATGGAGGATGTGGTCGAATGCTCGACTAGTCACTAATCAGAACAAATAATAAGCTTTACTGCCTAGCGATAACATAGTGTGTTATCCAACTCGTAAATTTGAAAAATTCGGTTAGCTGAGGAGTTTTGTTATCAAATAAAACCTAATTACACACCAGTTGAAAAAATATCAATTTAAATGTTTTTACACTGTTTTCAAATTTCTGAGGTAATAATGTTCCTCGCGTGATTCACAAAACGTAATCTAAATGTAGTAAAAGGACGGTTAAAAGCTGATTCTGACGTGCCATCAACGCAACGCCAGTTTAAATTTTAAATTGATAAAACTAGGCTTGAATATGAACAAATCAAACATTTACATGGAAACTCCCGAACCAGTACAAGGAGACTGAGACCATATGTTCAGAAAGAGTAAGCGTCTTCTGTTTCTTCTACGAGCCCCAAAGTGTAACTGAAAATGTCTTTAAAGCACTCGAATGTAGCATAACCTGATATTTATGTTACTGATATTGCAGCGCAGACCGAGTTCGCATCTATGATACACGTTGTTTTGAGTTGATTATATTTAACTCAGACCTCAGTCAGTGATGAAGCTCCGATCGGTGAAGTTTTATTTCACTGTTAACGTGAAAAATGATTATTCAACATTCAATAATTTGATGTATCTTTAGCATTTCTACGTTTACAACACTGTATACAGTATAACAAAGTACAATTTACCCTGTATACAGCAGTGAGAAGTAATCATCATGTATATAGTAAAACCTTAGTACACTGTATACAGTATAACAAAGTACAAATTACCCTGTATACAGCAGAGAAGTTATCATCTGTATACAGTAAAACCTTAGTCACTGTATACAGTATAACAAGGTACAATTTACCCTATATACAGCAGAGATATCTTATCATCTTTATACAGTAAAACCTTAGAACACTGTATACAGTAAAACAAAGTACAATTTTCCCTGTATACAGCAGAGAGAAGTTAACATCTGTATACAGTAAAACCTCAGTACACTGTATACAGTATAACACAGTACAATTTACCCTGTATACAGCAGAGAGAAGTAATCATCCTGTATACAGTAAACCTTTAGTACACTGTATACAGTATGACAAAGTACAATTTACCCTGTATACAGCAGTGAGAAGTAATCATCATGTATATAGTAAAACCTTAGTACACTGTATACAGTATAACAAGGTACAATTTACCCTGTATACAGCAGAGAGAAGTTATCATCTAAATACAGTTAAACCTTAGTACACTGTATACAGTATAAAAACGTAGAATTTACTCTGTATACAGCAGAGAGAAGTAATCATCCTGTATACAGTAAACCTTTAGTACACTGTATACAGTATGACAAAGTACAATTTACCCTGTATACAGCAGTGAGAAGTAATCATCATGTATATAGTAAAACATTAGAACACTGTATAGAGTATA